AGGCTACAAGAACAAGTCCTCTTCTAAAACTAACTTAGAATAAAATTCTCAGAAAACCAAGAATAGTGTGAACTACTTTAATGATCGAGGGCATCTATTACAAAAACACTAAGGACTTCCGGGAGAACAAGGCAGACAGATAACAGCAGCCACGGAGGCTCTCTGAGATTGCCGGCTTAGAATCCAGGAATGATGTGGTATGAGGAGTCCTAAGCAAGGGATCGAAATATACCCTGCTGACCCAAGAATGAACTAAGTTGACAGAAACCAACTGGAAATGCAATCCCGATGCTATAACAGGAACAGATAAAACCTCAGTAAGGCAGGTGGAATCTGTGCCTCTGGAAGCGCCGATTTCAATTTCCTGCTGCTGCTGCTGTATCCCAATCAGCACAGCAGGAAGAGAGCAGATGAAAGCTCTGAGACCGGGAATCAGCGAACCGAAGGAGTTGAGAGCGGGACGGGCTGGGAGCCCTTCATCGACCAACGGTGAGTGAAAGGAACAGGGACCCTTTCACAGACTATGAGGCTCCAAAAGTGGACATTCTGGGACCAGGCAGACTACCCAGAACAGGACGCTGCAGTAACTTTAGTCACATATACCCCTCTCAAGCGGGACTGGTAGGGAGCGCGTGGCCTGGTGAGGCCACAAACTAAGATGCAGTAGGCTAGCCCAAACCAAGGTCCCAGTGCTTGGCAGTGCACCCTAGCAGTGAAACTTTGAGTAGGTTGACCTGGAGTGGCGGGCCCAGCAGAGACTACCCAGCTCTGTGTACACTGCAGTGGGTGGAAACATGTAGCTGGTGGATCCAAACAAACTGTAACCGACAAAAACAAAAAACAAAAAACAAAAAAAAACCCCCCAAAAACAAAACTGGGCCTCCTATATATGCTTGTATGGAAGGAACAAAAAGTATGGGAAGAGGGAGCAAAAAGAAAGGGTCCTCGGTCCCCAATCCTGAGAACACTGATCCAGGAAAGGTAAATACAAAGGAGAATGAGGACAGAAAACATGCAATATCAGACATGGCACCAACAGACATAAAGCAATATCTCTGGAGCCTCATAGACGAGTTCAAAAGTGAAGTATTTAATGAAATAAAGCAAGAAATAAGTAGAATAGTTAGAGAAATGCTAAGCACCGCCCAAGAAAAAACAGATGGTGGAATGGAAGAACAGAAAGAAAGGGGAGAATTGTTTGATGGAGAAAATAGAGAAAACACAGAATACGTGAAGCAGGTTCAAAGAGATTACCAGGAAACTAAAAACTCCATTGAAAGCTGGCATAACAGCTTGAAAGAAACTAAGGATAGATTATCTGAACTAGAGGACAGGTTTGCAATGTGGGAGCATGAAATGAAAAACTTCTTAAAAATAAAAAGAAAACAAACAGTAATAATACAAAGGCTTGAAGATGATAAGAGGAACTAAAACTTAAGAATTAACATAAAAGAAGTAATAGAGACACAAACAAATGAACTGCAAAAGCTATTCACAGAAATAATCCAAGAGAATTTCCCTAATTTAGCAAAAGGTAAAGCAGATGTATGAGACATACAGGACCCCAGCCACCTACAACCCAAACAGAACAACACCCAGGCATATAACAATCAAAATTCCAGAAATACAATATAAAAACAGAATATTAAAAGCCATCAGAGACAAGAAACAGATCACTTACAAGGGAACACCCATCAGAATTACAGCAGACTTCTCGGCACAAACCATCAAATCACGAAGAGCGTGGAGGGAAATAATTCAAGCTTTGAAAGATAATAATCTCCAGCCAAGATTGATATATCCTGCACAACTGTACCTAGAAATTGATGGAAAAACAAGGTGCTTCTAGGATAAAGAGGAACTAGGGGAATTTGCAACCACCAATTCAACTCTACAAAGAATACTGCAGGGTATTCTAAAAATGAAAAATACCAAGATTCCAGAAACAGTGGCAGAGAGGCCACAATGAATGGAGAAAAAGCAAAATAAAGAAGACAAACTGACAACTAATGACAGAAAAAAAATTCAACAGAAATGAGGCTGAGAAGGTTGGATGGTAGGAAGAGCTAGTTTGGAGAAAACAAGACATTATAATAGCTAATGCTGATTTAATATCATCTTATTTCAGGTCCGATCAAGCTTTTGTTCTTCTGTCTCCATCAATCTTAACATGTTGCATCTTATTGGATTTTACTGTATGTGATAATATAAACAAAAACTTTTATAGACAAGGAGATTATACAGAAACCATTGTTCATTTTATGTTAGTTGATTCTAAATACGCTGTCATACTGTCATTGTCTTGAACGGTTTTACATTGTCTAGATATGTTTGATGCTACAGTACACGAAGTTATACTCAAAGATTTCAAGGAAAGAGAAACTATGGTAACTACTTTTATGTTGGGATTATCTTGTGGTTAAAGACTATTTTGCTTAAATGGTTATGTTTTAACCTGCGCTGTTTTGTTGTTATGCCCTCTTTTATCTCAATCTCCTTTTTTTATTATTTACTTTTTCATTTTTATCCTTTTAATTAAGGGAAAAATAAATGAAAAATAGCAGGATATATTATAGTAACCTACTTTGATTTCCTATTAACTTGATTTGAAACCCTGTATTGCTCTCATCATCTTGTTTTGACTGATTTTCCTCTATTCTGTTTTGCTTGAAAGTACCAAGTTTGAAAGTATAGGCAACAACTGTGAAGACAGTAAGATTCATTATGAAGCCCATTCTGGTTGACTATTATTTTCTTTTGAACTCTTGTAATGTCTCCAATGTTTTAGTTTTATTGTTTATTGTTTTGTTCAATTTTATTATAACTGATGATATAGGCAATTCTTTTTAAGATAGCAAGAGGCAGTGTGGTAACCATTGTTGATCACCTTGTATTTTGTTTTTACAGTATGTATTATGTCCATCCTTTTGATTTGACTGACTCTGTCCTGTTATGTCACATTTGTTTTTACTCTCTTCAAAAAAAGTAATAAGAACTGTGGGAGTAATAAAACCCAAAATGTGTAACTGTCATTGTACAAAAGAGAGGAAAAGAAAGTGCTCTAAAGGACATAACTGCATTTATATTTAAGTATATAAGATAAGTAACCATATTACTGAGTTTTATTGGATCATTGAACATAACTGTTTGCAGTCTCACTATTTGAATGTCCACTCTATATGCTTTAATTTTGTAACTTGAACAACTATTTCTAAGATTACAATACGTAATCTATTAACTAGTAATGTCCTACTGTTTATTTTTTCTGAAATTCTGTATAACTTGTACCCTTTTTTTTTCGTTTTTCTCCTTAAATAAAATTAAAAAAAAAACACTATGTCTAATACACTTAGCATGAAATACTTCCTCTTAAATGTAGTTGTTGCACTTCACGATTGGAGAGGATATCTAGATTTACCAGTCTCTCTAGCCTGTACACACAAAGATGATATAGAAGGCAGGCATTATAGAGAATACTGTTCCCTCCTTGCATAGCTGTCTATGCAGAAAAAATTTAAAGTATCAATAAAAAAATAATCGAGTGGAGAGTAAGGTTGCCTTTTTTGGGTGGTACTAAGAACTGAACACTAAGCTACATACTAAGGCTCTTTTAAAAATTCTGAAATAGAGTCTTATTAAGCCACTAAACTGTGCATGCTGGGCTTGAATTTGCAATCCTCCTGTCTCAGCCTTCTGCAGTGCTGGGATTTACAGCTCATGTTTATGATGAACACAGTATGGCTTTGACTTGGGTACAGTAAAAAAAAAAATGACATACTGAGAAAAATCATAACAAATTCTAACTGTTAGAAAGGTTATCTGCAGACAAAGAAGAAAGTAAAAAGCACCCTGAAGTACTGTGCTAGACCAGAAATGAAAGTATTTAAAAAAAAAAAAAAAAAAAATATATATATATATATATATGTATATATATGTTTGTGTGTGTGTGTGTGTGTGAAAACAGTTACAAAGGTGCATTCTGTCTGTCTGAGAGGTCATACTTGCAATTTTCCACTTCTGCTCCCCTTGAAGAACCTGGGAAGCACTGGGAATTTAGCTTGGCGGGATAGTGTTTGCCTTGCAAGCAAGCAGCCTTGAGTTCGATGCCCAGTACAGAGTAAAAGAAATTTTTTTTTGGAAACAAAGAACCTGGGAAGTGACAACTCACTAGCATGAGCGCACTGGGCACCCAGAAGTCAGCTTGTACATCCGTCCTCTATCAAAAGAATCAAGACTCCTTGCAAAAATGTCTGAGGACTGGGGCAAGGGAGGTAGAAGCTGAGTAGTAGAAAGGTATCTTACAAATGGAGGTAGAATGCAGGAACACGTAAACACTATTTCACAACTGAAGTTTGATTTAGGCAAGAGATATTAATGGACTCTAAGGGGAGCAGGTTGAGCACTGATGAAAAATGAGTATTTAAGTATATAGAATATTTTCTTAAAATACCAAGAATTAAAAAGAGTAAACAGTGAGTTGAGGATAGAATAGCCGGCAGTCAGCAACGTGAGCAGGGGAGCAGCGTCTGCCTCGCCGCGGCGGAGTCGGCAGCTCACCAGCCTGCATACCCTGACACGACGAGCTCACAAGTCTTTGCAGTGGATTTTTTTGCAAAGATTCATTATCTGAGTACTGGGAAAACAGGGTTATGTCACAGAAGGCAAGGGTTATATTCTTTAAAACTGTTAAGTACTGTACATAAAAAATAGAAAAAAACTGAGAAACTGTTTTAGATTGAAAAAGCCTGAAAATATGTGAGAGAGGCAACAGGATTCTGGGCAGAGTCTCAGACTAGAAAGAAAAGTACTCACTTTGAGACAGCTGGTAAAATGTGAGTGGGTCCTGTGTGTAGGTAACACTGTGCTGTACCAAAGCTGATTTCCTAATTTGGAGAGTTGTAGACAGACGACACAGGGGTGTGTCCTTGCCTCCTGGAATATTGTTGTACGGTGTGGGAGAGAGACAAACAGGATGAAATTTTAATATTTAAATTACTTACCAATGACTTTAACAAAATAGGCGTCTGCTTCAAAGTTATTTTTTAGTGTATGGATGGCAAAATCATTTTTTGTATATCCTTTACTCAGTACTATAATGTCCAGGATTCCCTGAAAAAAAAAAAAATAAGAATGGTAAGAACAAACTACTAGATAAAAAAAGAAAAGACTGCTAAAATGTGTTGCATGAGCCAGCTAGACTGGTGCTCTGCAGAGCCCCCTGTGGCATTGCTGGGAGCTCAGGGAAGCAAGGCCTCCTACCCTGAGGGGAGGGAGGACTCTGTTTCCCAGCTGCCACCAGGCCACTCATCCCTCTTTCATGTCACTTCTTCCCTCACTTGCTCCCACCACAAATGTGCTGTAATACCGAGATGAACCAAACGCCAGTGCGACCAGAGGCCCGAAACTGCTGAAATCAATGCCAAAATCAACCTTTTTTGCTTTTAAGTTGATAATCTCAAGTATTCTGTAACAGTGAAAGCAATCTAACAGCATATTTCATAATTTAAGTATAAACTTTATTTATTCAATGTAACATAAAATTATTAAGTACATAAACATACACAACTTTGAATAGTAAAAGATATAATGCAAAATATCTAATTTTAACTTTGGACATCATTTTTAGGATTTTTGTGTATTTCCTTCTTGTCATCTTAGTATAAATTTTTTTTTTTTAGTATTTAAGGAGAAAAAGGAAAAAACAGAAAAAGGATACAAGTTATAAGGAATTTCAAAAAAATAAACAGTAGGAAATCACTAGTTAATAGGTTACATATTGTCATCCTAGAAATAGCTATTGAATTTACAAAATTAAAGCATATACAGTGGACAAACAGTGAGATTGCAAACAGTTCTGTTCAATGATCCAACAAAACTCAGTAATATGGTTATCTATCTTATACACTTAAATATACATGCAGTTATATCCTTTAGAGCACTTTCTTTACCTCTCTTTTGTACAATGACAATTACAACAACACCAATAAAACCAAAACACTGGAGACATTACAAGACTTCAAAAGAAGATAATAGTCAAACCAGAATGGGTGTCAAAAGGAATGTTATTGTCTTCACAGTTTTTGCCTATATTCTTGAACTTGGTAGTATCAAGCAAAACAGAATAGAGGAAAATCAGTCTAAACAAGATGGTGAGAGCAATACAGGGTTTCAAATCAAGTTAATAGGAAATCAAAGTAGGTTACTATATTATATCCTGCTTTTTTTATTTTTCCCTTAATTAAAGAGATAAAAATAAAATAGTAAATAATGAAAAAGGAGATTGAGATAAAAGAGGGCATAACAACAAAACAGCGCAGGTCAAAACATAACCATTTAAGCAAAATAGTGTTTCACCACCAGATATCCCGACATAAAAGTAGTTAGCATAGTGTTTCTTTCCTTGAAATCTTTGAGTATAACTTCGTATACTATAGCATCAAACATATCAAGACAATGTAAAACCATTCAAGAGAATGACAGTACTATAGGGTATTTAGAATCAACTAATATAAAATGAACAATGGTTTCTGTATAATCTCCTTGTCTATGAAAGTTTTTGTTTATATTATCACATATAATAAAATCCAGTAAGATACAACATGTTAAGACTGATGGAGACAGAAGAACAAAAGCTTGATGGGACTTCAAGACGAGATATTAAATCAGCACTAGCTATTATGATGTCTTGTTTTCTCCAAAATAGCTATTCCTACCATCCAACCTTCTCTAGTTCATTTCTGCTGAGCTCTTTTTGTGTCATTAGCTGTCAGGTTGTCTTCTTCATTTCGCTTTGTGCTCCATTCATTGTGGCCTCTCTGCCACTGTTTCTGGAATCTTGGTATTTTTCTTGTTTAGAATATCCTGCAGTATTCTCTGTAGAGTTGAACTGGTGGTTGCAAATTCCCCTAGTTCCTCTTTATCCTAGAAGCACCTTGTTTTTCCATCAATTTCTAGGTACAGTTGTGCAGGATATATCAATCTTAGCTAGAGGTTACTATCTTCCAAAGCTTGAATTATTTCCCCCCACGTTCTTCGTGATTTGATGGTTTGTGCTGAGAAGTCTGCTGTAATTCTGATGGGTGTTCCCTTGTAAGTGATCTGTTTCTTGTCTCTGGTGGCTTTTAATATTCTGTTCTTATATTGTATTTCTGGAATTTTGATTGTTATATGCCTGGGTGTAGTTCTGTTTGGGTTGTAGGTGGCTGGGGTCCTGTATGCCTCATACATCTGAGTATCTTTACCTTTTGCTAAATTAGGGAAATTCTCTTGGATTATTTCTGTGAATAGCTTTTGCAGTTCATTTGTTTGTGTCTCTATTACTTCTTTTATGTTAATTCTTAAGTTTTAGTTCCTCTTATCATCTTCAAGCCTTTGTATTATTACTGTTTGTTTTCTTGTTATTTTTAAGTTTTTCATTTCATGTTCCCACATTACAAATCTGTCCTCCAGTTCAGATAATCTATCCTTAGTTTCTTTCAAGCTGTTATGCCAGCTTTCAATGGAGTTTTTAGTTTCCTGGTAATCTCTTTGAACCTGCTTCACGTATTCTGTGTTTTCTCTATTTTCTCCATCAAACAATTCTCCCCTTTCTTTCTGTTCTTCCATTCCACCATCTGTTTTTTCTTGGGCGGTGCTTAGCATTTCTCTAACTATTCTACTTATTTCTTGCTTTATTTCATTAAATACTTCACTTTTGAACTCGTCTATGAGGCTCCAGAGATATTGCTTTATGTCTATTGGTGCCATGTCTGATATTGCATGTTTTCTGTCCTCATTCTCCTTTGTATTTACCTTTCCTGGATGGGTGTTCTCAGGATTGGGGGCCCAGGACCCTTTCTTCTTGCTCCTTCTTCCCATACTTTTAGTTCCTTTCATACAAGCATATATAGGAGGCCCAGTTTCCTTCTTTGTCAGTTATAGTTTGTTTGAATTGCACTGGCTAGGTGTTCCCCCCCACTGCAGTGTACTAGGAAGACACAGACCTGGGCAGCCTCTGCTGGGCCCACCCCTCTAGGTCAGTCAACCTACTGAAGGCTTCACTGCCAGGGTACCTCCAGGCCCTGGGACCTGCGTTTGGGCTAGCCTACTGGGTTTTAGTCTGCGGCATCACCCAGGCCAAGCACTCCCCACCAATGCAGCTTGAGAGGGGAATATACAACTAAAGTCACTGCAGCATACTGTTCCGGCTAGTCTCCCGGTCCCAGAATGTCCTCTGTTGGTGCCTCTTAATCTATGGAAGGGTCCCCGTTTCTCTCACTGACCGCAGGTTGATGCAGGGCTCCCCACCAGTCCCGCTCTCAACTCCATTCCCCGATTCCAGCTCTCAGAGCTTTTGCATGTCTCTCTCCCTGTTGTCCCAATTTGGACGCAGCAGCAGCAGCAGCAGCAGCAGCAGGAAATTTAAATCGCGGCTTCCAGAGCCGCAGATTCTAGTTCAGCACTGAGATTTTATCTGTTCTGGTTATAGCACTGGGATTGCATTTCCAGTTGGTTTCTCTCAGCTTAGTTCGTTCCTCGATGTGCAGGGTATATCTCTCTTTGCTTAGGACTCCTCACACCACACCATCCTGGATTCTAAGCTGGCTAACTCAGAGAAGCCTCCATAGCTGCTGTTATCTATCTGCCATGTTCTCCCGGAAGTCCCTCATCTTAGCATAAATTTTTAAAGGTCTGTTATTGGGGCTGCCAGAACCTTTCCAGCCATAAAAGAGAAAGACAGGACCTTTTCACCAACTCCTGCCTTCATCAGTACTAGTGGTGTTTGTCCTTGATTAAAAGAGGAAGCTTTACTAATGTCATTGATGAGTGCTCATTTAGAATGACTTTCCTTTGGCTCATGGGCCACTGATCACATTTTTACATAGGCTAGTAACTAGGGTTTTTGCTATAAATTGACTGTGTTCCACCTTTTCAGAAAATTTACTTTTTGTGACATACCAATATGTACGAACTTTTATAAATTAAGGCTATTAATTGTTTGGCTCATTCACAGCAAAATTATTTTCTTGTTTAAAACAACTCAAGCTTTCTTTTATAGTATTTTTGGTAGATAAATTAAAAATTGATTTATAATCAATTCTCTTGATAGTCTTGTCCTTCGTAATATTTGTACCAATTACTTTTTTGCTTGGCAAATGGTAATGAAAAGTGAAATAAGAGTTGGCAGTTGGACAAACAGAGGAAAACAAAGATTTGTGGAACTCGTAATTTTGTCACAGAACAAAATAAAACCCCAAATTGAGTTAATGAGACATAAAGGTCCTGAAGGGCTTTTAACATTTAAACAAATGCTCTTGCAAGGATATACTGGGACGTATTAATGGTTATTTAACTCCTTTTCTCTAAAATTCATTATTTTTCTGAGTGGTCACCTGCCTTTTTTTTTTTTTTGTGGATGGTAGCCAGGAAGCCTTTTCACAAGGTCAGCTGGAATGAGAAGGACAAGGCTTTGCAGTGACAGGTGTGGCTTCCATTGTGGGGGCGGGGCTGGGAGGTGGGGTGGGGGCAGAAAGCAAGGAATTCAGCCTTGTGCGACTTAGCAGGTGTGCCTGCTCCCCTGGCTCTGCTCCTTGGATGTACCAGCTTGACAGCATTTTTTGCAGACTATCTCAAGGAGCACTAAATGAGATAAGGGGATTTCCCTATTTGATTACAGTGATTGATCAATACTGTCAATCTTGTTTTCTTCTCTCTACCATTTTAGAAGCCTTTGTTTAATTAATGTTATGCTTTTATGTCCTCTGTATTTTTCTGGTTAGAAAGGTGGAGCTGAAGTGAAATGAGATAGATAGCAGTTAAACCCCAAATATAAAGAATAACCGTCAACTTACATCTTCGTAAATGTCAAAGAAAGTGGTGAGCACAGCATCTTTGATTTGATTTAAGTCCATCAGGTCCCAGTAGACTTTGAACATCCGGTGGGCACCCTCACAGCTTGCGTTATTACACGGGACGTTCTCCAGCAAGAAAGCCTGCTGGTTGCTGTATGACAAACAACAGGCATCTAGTTACACCACACGCTGCGCAGCAATGGCTGTGCTATCTCCTTGAATCAAAGGAGCTGGGGAATGAAGACTAAAAAAATCTCTCCTTTTTGATTACTGCACTGTTACTTTTTTTTAAAAAACTCAAGTTTTTTGTTCTCTTTTCTCAACCTTTGGCAAAAGTCTGATTTTCTAAGCCCAGTCAGTTGTTTTATAAACTCTGTAAACTGATCTTATGCAATAGTTTGTAGGCATTTTCCATACAAACACTACGTATATAAATAAACATATGTACATATACACACACTCTAGTAATGACTTACTTATAGACATTTTCATATATAATATGTATGTGTGTATACATAATTTATAAAATGACTTTTACAGGCATCTTCCATATATATATCTATGCACACACACACACACACAAACATATACATATGTATGTTCCTTCACTTCCCCCAATGTTCATAAACACTAATAGACAACTACTGTAGAGGTGTTAGAATTTATTATTGGACATTTTTAAAAATTATTTTAATTAAATATGAAAAGATAGTTTCCTTGTATTTAGTAAAAATCTTAATCTGATTCTGGGTTATTAGCAAATTGAAAACAAGTTCAATTATAAGAAAAAGAAAATTTCTAAATGTTTACTGCAGATTAGAGACTTATACACAAACTTTTCAAACCTAATGCAAAAATGTAATAATATGTGGCTTATTTTTCCCAGATAAAAATTCCAACAGAAATAGTTTGCTAGAATAATTCCTTCATTAAAAAAAATCTCAGACTGTAAGATTTATTGAGAAGAACTTGAGTTGCTTTTGCTCAAGACCTAACATATTACTCTTCCTTCACTAGAAAGAATGATTTCTTGTGTTTTGTCTAATAACTGATCACTAAATTCTAATTTATAATATTTTCTCAAGTAACTTACCTATCCTACTTTGTAAGATAAACAATTTTACTAGCTATTTTATAGAGATATACCTTATTCCAGTTTGTTATTAGTTCATATTACAACAGGAGAACAGGCGATAAAAGGAGGTTTTCTACTCCATTGTATGACCCATGTATCCTATGTGGCTACCTCTGAGTGAGCATATTCTCCATTTCTCTTCTCAAAGTCACTGCATAGATTTCACGACTATAACTCTGGTCACAATTTCAAATATACAACAGTAACCTGCAATCAAACCTTTACTGTGGTTGTGTAATTTAAAATGTCATTGTTAGACTAAGCACAGTAGCACATCCCCACAATACCAGCTGTTTGGGAGATTGAGGCAGGAGGATCATTAAATTGTAGGCCAGCACGGGCAACTTAGTGTGACCCTGTTTCACAGTAAAAAACAAAAATGGGTGAGGATGTAGCTCAATTCCTATATTGAAAAAATATTCTCAAGTTTGGTACATGTTCACAAAAAGTGTAAATGTTTTCACTTTCTCTATATTCTTGAAAATTAGAATTACTGTATCTTTAAATTTTCATTTCGTAACAATAACAAAAACTATTGTAAATTTCAAGTAATAGAGACATTTTTAAAAAGGCAAAATCTTGCATTTTTAGGAATAATTATTGTTAAAAATTTGCTCTGTGTCTTTCCAAATCTTCTAGGACTATACAAATCAGTATACATATTCTTAAAAAAGTAGAAGAAAAAATTCAAACCCAATTGAGTTTAGCAGTACACATTTTTCTGTGATTGTTTTTCACTGAATAAGAAACTCCTACTCTTAGAAAACAGTGTTTGATCAAAGACTTCTGGCATCTGAGTTGCATCATCTTACATCCCTCACCCTCTAGCCATCAAGTGGTTTATTCCCTAGGCTCATTCTTTCCAAAGCCCATGTGCTACACGACTCAGAGGTCACTCATTGGAACATTCTGCTACTGACTGTTAGATTGCTGCCAAGTGCTCTCCATCACACTCTGCTGCAAGTTAATTTTCCTTGGGAAAACAGAAGGATTTCCAGATGACAGTTTTTGGGCCAGAGGATATGTATATTTTAAATGTTAATCAGTAAAGCTAAATGGATCTCTAAAAATGAACTTATAATTCTAACAGTATATGGGTGTGTATTTCATATCTTGTCAGTATTATTGGCATGGCTTCTTACTATTGTCAGTTGAATAGTTTAAAAATCATCACACTCTTTTGACTCTGAGTAAGAGTATGATTTTAGGTTTATCAGCTATTCATATTTTTTTTGTGAACTGCCATGTAAATCTTTTTCCTTATTGATTTTTAGAACTCTGATTGTTAGAGATATTAGCTCTTTATTTGTTACTCTTAGATCTTTATTTGAAATATAGGAATAATAATAGTACATTACTTCAAATCACCATTGTAAGGATGTATATGTGGATGTATATGTACATAAAAATAGCTACGATAGTTATGCTACTGATTTCTCTGAGTTCACTGAAGAGAAAGATTTGTGCTGGTATTGTTTCAATAATTGAATGCAGATGTCTTGTGCTCTGGATGACAATGCACAATGTACCATTGTTGCAGTCTAATTGATGTGCTTTGAAATTTTGTTGTAGTTTTCTTTCTTCTTGTCTCTGAATAAAATGGATTTGAAAAAAAAGCTATAGGTATAATATTTAAAGATAGTGCATTAAACCTATAAACCTAAAGCATCCATTAAAGTAAAAAGATCAATAGTAAGTCAAATACTATGTTATCTCAAATGAAGGGGGAGGGACCAAGATGGGTGATTTAAATCTAACTATATCAACACTCGCACAAAATATAAAGAGCTTAAATCCACAAATTAAAAAGTATAACTTGTAAGACTGGATTAAAAAACTAAGACTCAATTATATTCCACATCTAAGAAATCTACCTTAAACATAAAAACACAAACAGGAAAAACGTAAAAATGATGATAAAAGGCAAATTAGCCATGAAGAAAACAAAAAGACAGCCTAAACTCTGAAAAAGCAATGTTTGCAATCATGTTTCTGATAAGAGAACTGAATTTAGAATATGTATAAAAACTCAAACTCAACAGTAAAAGGAGAACTCAATTTTAAGAGTGGACTGTTGGTCCTTTAATAAAACATTTCTCCAAGAAATAAATGGCCAATATACATAGAAAAAGATATTCAACAAAAAGGCCACTAGTGAAGTTCAAATCAAGATCACAGCGAGACACCTCATGAGACCAAGGAGGATTACTATGATAAAAAAAAAAAAAAGACAGTTAGCAGGTGGAATGGTTAGGCCTGCAGTCCCACCTGCTGGAGAGGTTGAGTTAGGAATATCTCTTGAGCCAAGGAGTTTTGGGCCAGCCTGAGTAACATAGCAAGACCTTGCCTTAAGAACAAACAAACAAACAGCTAATAGCTAGTTTTAGAGTGAATATAGAAAACCTGAAATCCTCATAGCTTGCTAGGCTTCTAACATGGTACAGCTGTTTTGAGAAATAGTCTTAAATGGTTAAGCACAGTTACCATTGGTCCCCAGATTCCACTTGTAGGTAAATCTGAAGAGAAAGTACACATTGATATACAAACTTGAGTGAATGAATGTCCACAGCAAAACTATTTGCTGGAATCAAAAGGTGGACATCATCTAAATAGCCATCAGTTTATGAATGGATAAAATGTCTAATAGGTATACAATGCAGTATTATTTGAATTAAAAATGTAGTATACCAATATAAGGATGAATCTTGAAAATATGCTAAATATGACTCCATTTATATGAAATGTCCAGAATTGGCAAACAGATGGTGATAGAAAGCAGATCAATATTTGCCTGGGGCTTAGAGGCCTGGGAAGAAATAAGGAGTAACTGTAATGGGTTAAGGTTTCTTTATGACATAATGAGACACTCTAAGGGTGATAATACAACCCTACACATAATCTAAAAACTCCCGAGTCACACACTTTGAATGAATTGTATAGTAAGTGATCATAGCCCAATAAAGCAATTGCAATTGCTAAAAAGGTATATCATTTTAAGACAAATCAGAAGATCAGAATGGCTACATTAATGAACAAAGAAATTAGCACACTAGAGTGATTTCATAATACAGCAAGACTTTGGGCTGTGAGAAACTTGTTCTGTGAATGTTCCAGAAGACAAGCAACATTTCTAACAAGCTCAAAGCTGGTAAATGACTGTATCTTGCATTAGTAGGAGCGCCTGATGCCAAACGTCACATGATCACAACTGAGCCAATAGTTAGTCTCTCTCTCTGTTTTCTTCCTACCTGCCTCTCTCCCTCGATTGTGGGAGATCATTTTCCAAGAGGGTAATGAGGAGATTTTGTCTGTAGAGGAGAAGAAAAAGGAAGAGGAAACCCTCACTTCAAAAGAGATTAGGGAAATGTATAAGATGCGGGAAACAGGGTAACATTTTGTAGAAAACCACCACTCAGAGAAGGGGGTAGCTGAAAGAGTGATGAGTCTGGTTTAATGACAACGCCATGTAACATTTCTGTGAAATTCTCAAAAGGAGGCAAAAGAAACCATCATTGGATAGGTTTCTTGTATTAAAGCTGCATGAAAAGAAAGATAGTACTGAGAAAGAGATGATAGTGATTCTGTTAGTGATAGTGAAAGGTATCTTGCACAGTAACTCTCCTCTCTCGTCTCCCTCACACTGTTCCTTTGTATTATGTACTTACTTTATTATCATATTGTAATCATTCTTTTTTTTTGGGTACTGGGGATTGAACTCATGACCTTACGCCTGCCAGGCAGGTGCTTATGCAACTGAGATAAATCCCTGGCCCTTTTTAAAAAAAAAAAAAAATTTTTTTTTTGGTACTGGGGATTGAACTCATGACCACGTTCTTGCAAGGAAGGTGCTTATGCCACTGAGCTAAATTCCCAGTTGTAATCACTTCTATATAAATATTTTTGCATTGTGGAGTGAATCATCTGAATTTCCCATTATTTTTTAAAGGGAAATATGTTTTGTGATGCAGGTCCTTTGGATTACAAGTGTTTTTCTGGAATCCTGCTCACAAACTAAG